CAGAAATTCTCACTGGTGTATTCCCTTTTAGTGCTGGAAGCCTCACTGATGGGTTCACTTTCAGGGCAGAAAGCCTCAATTGATGGGTTCACTTTCAGGGCAGAAAGCCTCACTGATGGGTTCACTTTCAGGGCAGAAAGCCTCAATTGATGGGTTCACTTTCAGGGCAGAAAGCCTCAATTGATGGGTTCACTTTCCTTTTATTAGTTGTTTTTTCGATTTTTTACAATCTTTTTGGACTAAATTATCTTTTTTTTTTGTTCATTTGTAAATTGCTAGCTGTTATGTTCCTCTATAAGTTACTATTTCTTTTAATCCTCTGGAAATTACCAGCTGTTTGTTCCCTTAAAACTTGAGCCCCTGACTAGTGGCCTGCACTACTGCTTTGAAAGATGGATCTGAAGCTTCTAAATGAACTTTCAATTGAATTTTTGTGTGTGCAATAAAAAAAGAATCAAGGGACTCACTTCAAATTTGCCGCTTGGAGTAATGTCTCCAGATGAGCTCATCATCGTCTTGTTTTTCCGTACCCCCTTATTTGTTCCAACACTCTTGGAGTTGAAGTCAGACACTTTGATGGGAGTTTGTTGTTCATTATCTGGAACGTTGTTTTCCGATTGGCTGCATTTCGTTTATTTGTAAGCCGTATTTGCTATTTTATGCAGGGCCGGATTGAGCTAGTATAGAGAGCATTAAGAGAAGGTGGCATACGTAAAGAAAGGGACCATAGATTTAAACATTATAATATTGTCTTATTAATTTATTTCTTTCGAATTCATTCCTTAAAGCAGTGGTGGCCAATCTTTTCAGCAGACGGACCAAATTTCGGAAATAACATTTCCTGCCGGGCCAAGCAACTAATTTTTTTGTTGTTAATTTAAGTAAACAAACAAGCGTGTTACATCTTCGACCACATCGTCGCTACCCAGTAGATGAGATCGTGGTCTAATGCTTGCCTGGTCTCCTGTAAAAAATAAAATAATAAAAAGCTATTTTTATTTAAAAAAAAAAAAAAAAAAAAAAAAAAAAAAAAAAAAAAAAAAAAAAAAAAAAAAAAAAAAAAAAAATAAAAAAAAAAAAAAAAAAAAAAAAAAAAAAAAAAATAAAGCATAACTGAGATCAAACATATTTATTAAACAATTTAGAAATATTTAAAAGTGAGACATCTGACTGTGTTTTGCAGAATTAAGTGCATCGAAATTGATCTCGACTGACATAGTCCAGGGTCGCCCACGGAGGAACATCGTCATCCTCATGGGAGACTTTAATGCCAAGATCGACAAAAGCAACACAGGGTACGAAGAGGTTATGGGACAGCAAGGGATAGGCGAGATGAACGACAATGGTGAGAGGTTTGCGGACCTATGTGCCACAGCTGACCTGGTCATAGGGGGGATCATTTTCCAGCACAAGAGGATTCACAAAGCTACATGGGTCTCTCCGGACATGAGAACGATAAACCAAATAGACCATGTATGTATTTGTAAAAAATTCAGGCGATCTCTCCAAGACGTGCGTGTTAAGAGGGGGGCTGATATTGCCTCAGATCATCATCTTCTTGTGGCCAGGATGAAATTAAAACTAAAGAGACATTATACCGAGCAAACAGCATACAGGACTCGGTATAATACCCCCCTCCTGAAGGACCAAGTCAAAAAGGAAGAATTCAGAATCTCACTATTCAATAAGTTCCAAGTCCTACAAGAAATACTTGAAGATGTAACCACCGAAGGAAAGTGGCAAAGCATGAAAGAAACAGTCCAGTCAACATGCCAAGAAGTGCTATGAAACAGGAAAAAGGCACACAAAGAATGGATGACAGCAGGTACGCTGAATAAAATAGAAGAAAGGAAAAGAAAGAAATCAGAAGTGAATAACAGCCGCACTTCTTGCACATACCCAACAACAGATGCAGGAGAAAACAAACATTGTCGCAGCCATGGGTCTCAACATTCACAAAGGGAAGAGTAAAATCCTCAAGGTTAATGCCACCAGTACATCACCCATTATGCTTGAAGGAGAAGCCCTTGAGGAGGTGGACAGTTTTGTTTACCTTGGCAGCATGGTAGATAAACAAGGTGGTACAGATGCGGACGTCAAAATAAGGATAGGAAAAGCAAGAGCAGCCTTCCAACAACTCAAGAATGTTTGGGTCTCTAACAACTTAGGCAGCAAGTTAAAAGTAAGGATTTTTAACGCTATGGTAAAACCTGTGCTGCTATATGGAGCCGAGACATGGAGAACAACGGCCGTAAACCTGACCAGAATCCAGTCCTTCATCAACAACTGTCTAAGAAGGATTCTCAGAATTCACTGGCCAGACAAAATCAGCAACCAGGAACTGTGGCAGCGGACAAAACAGAAACCCATTGAGGAAGAGATTCTCCAGAAGCGGTGGAGGTGGATTGGTCATACACTAAGAAAACCTGCTTCTAACACAACAAAGCAAGCCCTGAAATGGAACCCACAGGGTAAGCGGAAAAGAGGCCGTCCAAGAAACACTTGGCGCCGAGAATTAGAGACAGACATCACGAAAATTGGCCATGAATGGAAGATCCTGGAGAAGCTGGCCCAGGATAGAGATGTCTGGAGGTCTCTAGTAGGTGGCCTATGCCCTTGGGGGAACCGCAGACGCCGACGATGATCGGTGGATGCCCCTCATGGACGAGAAGGCTCAACAACAACACGCATGTTTCCAAAAAGCGAAACGATCGACGTAGCATATTTGTAAAACGCAGGATATTTATCCTTCTCCAAATACGTTTTATAGAACTCTTCCAAAATCAACTGGATGGAATTTCTCCTTTGACTGTGTATCACAACACATTACACATTGTTCCATTTGTTGTTCTCTTCCTGGTAATAAATCACGTCTCATGTTAGCCCCCACCCGTGCCTTAAATTGTTCCACCCTTTAATTAACACACTCTTATATATATATATATATATATATATATATATATTTATATGTGTGTGTGTGTGCAGAGGCGTAGCGAGGGTGGTACAGGGGGGACAGATGTCCCCGGGCGCCAGGTAGTTGGGGGCGCCAAAATGCGCTTTGATATTATTTTATTGATGAAAATAATGGGTTTGAGAGTTAAAAAAAAAGAAAAAGGGGCGCTTTAAAATGGATCTTGTCCCCGGGTGCGAATCTTGTCCCCGGGCGCCAAACACCCTCGCTACGCCGCTGTGTGTGTGTGTGTGTGTGTGTGTGTGTATTGTCCTAACTGTTTTATTATAAAAAACTAAAGAAAAGCCAATAAGCAACCAATGAAAATTTTTTTTTTTCGTATTAATCCTTTAAATGCACTTTTTAATTATTATATTTATATATATTTTAATGTCCCGCCTGCTTTTAAAACACATTTTTATTTCACCGACTATTTCAGAGAAAACAAAAGAAAATATTACGCACCATACACACTTGCAATATTTTTTTAAAAAAAGAATCTCTTTTGTCGTAGTTATCAGCATCATATTTACTTCATCTTCCCCCCTTGAACAACAGGCAAAAACAGAATTTTAGGGGCTTGGGGGTAGGGTTAAAAATTTGATATAATGTGTTGTCATCGACAATGAGACTATGCTGTGTGCCAAGGTTCAGCTCGATAGATGGACTGGAAGTGGGTCAATCACCAGTCAGAAGCTTTTACTCTCAACACACAAAAGCAAAGCTGATAAAAATATATTTTTTTAAAAGGCGCTTCATAAGCCATACATCACCAGATCATTGGTTTAAGGCTCACATAATCAGATGATCATAAATTATGTAGATATTTATTGGCGCGAGGCCCTTTAAATGCCACTTTTGCTACTACGTTAATCTGGCTTTTATTTTATAAAATCACTGTCCGTTACAGTATATAAAAGCAACCATGCAGTATTTTCTTCAATTGTCCACGACCGTTTGTACACACACATTCCCGAATTCGAGTGCCCATATTTAGGGAAAATATAAAATATTAATAAAATGTTCTACATTAAGTCTCTTACTTTGAAGTTGAGCCTACGCAAAAGAATTTCATCAAATGTTAAAATAATTTAGTGTGATATGCAATGTTCCCTCTAAGGTTTGTTGCTTCGCGTGCAAAGTCATACAGTTGTGTGCAAAGTTTTACAGCATCAATTTTTTTGTGTGGAAAATTTTACAGCCCAGAAAAACAAACACACACTTACATGGAAATTTGCTGCGCGTTACTCAAAGCTGCTGCGCGGCGTCTGTGAGATAACTTAAAGGGAACTTTGGAGATATGATGTATGACAACGTTATGGTATCAGATCCTCACCTTCCGCTGCCTATACCTATTTGCATGCTTTTGTTAGATAAAACTTAAATTTAGGAATATTAAATATTAATCCTAAGCCAATTTAGTCGCCATTATTTAGTGTTCTAAAACCGGAGTCCTTAACCAGGTGGCAGTTTCAGGGGATGAGGGAAGTCCCAATCAGCTTCTTTACATTTTCTTTTCATTTTCTGTGGGGTGTCGGTGTCTTCGACTCTTAAGAATGGTTAATAAACCTAAATTTATTAAGAATCATGATTACAATTTGCAAAGCCAAAGCAGCTCAGTTTTTCCGAGTTTTCACGAAAGTCGATATGAAGTAAGCTGCAGTTGTACAGATTTTATTTATTCGGCGATAATTAGCCATCCCGAAAATTATATGGAAATGAATCTGAATATGAAGTGTAAGTATGACTATTAAATATTCAATAATATTGGCGTAGGCTACATCATGCCATGCAACACGAAATTTTATTATTCCCACTCAGCCACTCCCACAGCAATCAATCCCTAAAAATACAAAAATAAAAACAAAAAGTTAACTAAATTTTTTATGTAGCGTCTCCGGATTGTGATAACTCTATTTGACCCTGGGTACAAGTAATTTTAAAATACATGAAAATCAAGTAAATGCTTTATTAGTTGGTTTTCGACTAGATTATAAAATACATCATGATTTGAACTACATATTGTATTCCGGTATTTTAAATGCGTCAACCTTGACCTTATATGTTGAACACATCCGCCTTAGCAGGTGAATTATCAACAATTTCTTTTTCTATAATCCTATATTTTGAGATAAATAAAAAAGAGCAGAAGACCTCATTATTTTTGTTGTTTTAAGACTTTTTTAAAATAATATTTTAATGAAATTTCTAGATTTAAATTTGACTTTAAATTTTATATGTTCAGGACTCTGTTCACTTTCTTTTACTTTTACTCAATTACTAGTTTTATTTGGACTTAAAAATTTTAATTCTTTAACTTAATTAAATTACGAATTATCATTGTCAATTTCCTTGCCTTGAGGCTTGAGAAAAGTTCAATTTGTATTGTTTTCATGAATGAAATTGCAATTTAACTCATAATCGTACAGTAGTAGTAGTAGTACGAATTGAGTTTGAAGTTGAAGTAACTGATCTGAAAATGAACAAAACAAAAATAACATGGTAGTGACAATGACAAAGGCTTAGTGATAACACTAGTGTTAGTAATAAGTTTGTACCATAAGTTTAATGAGTATTAGGTAATCCCTTATTTTAGTGCAAGAAATTAAAAGCTTTCTATTTGAAAGTGTCTATTGGTAGTTTACCACCAATACCAATAGGATAGCCATAGCTTCTAGTTAGGGCTGGGAACTATTTGTAGTAATCTACCAATAGGTTCTAGAGAGCTATTGGTAGTCCAGCCAATCAAATCAAACCAAAATCAGAGCTTTAAAACTCCGCTATCAATGACGCTGGCCAAATATTGCCTTGTTCATTTATTACTAATTCATACTAGTGACAATACCTTGGCCGGCACTAATTATAAAGTCTACAGTACTGTTTTAACACTGTCTGCTGTAGCCTTCCTTATGCTCAGATTTGGCTATATAATTATAATTTATAATATAGACCTAATATAGATAGATGTATCATACTGGGGTGAGGGGATCATAGTCTGAAAAAATGTTACCCAGCTTCTTCTTAGCCAAGGCAAAAGTATATCTTTAGCCATAGCGTGGTACCACGCTGTACATACAATTTAAAAAAACATAATTATGAACTTAAAAAATTAATTGACATAGGCTACATTAATTAAATAAAACAAAACAAATTTATATTTAGAACTATTAACATGTAAAGCAATGGATGACACTCAGCAGGATCGTTTTTTGGTCAAACGGGGGAATCAGAGGATAGTAGAGTTTAAAAAGATGTTTTTTGAGTGCAGTTTTGAAGGCTGTGCAGTAAAAATAAAATCCAACATAGGCTTCATACTTTAGAGTGATTTCAGGGATGTGACTACCAATATTATTAGACTTAGTCAATATTGCAATAATCAATCTATAACTGTCACCAATTGATAGTTTTTTTATAGTAAAATACCAATAGCCACCTAGAAGCTACTGGTAGTGGAGTACCAATAGCTCCCTAGAAGCTATTGGTAGTTTACTACAAATAGCCACAGCCTTCTATTTATCTGTTACTGTTGGAAATGCATTATAACACTGCAAAAGTTCAAGCATATTATTAGACAAATAATTATGTCACAATACGTCTAATTGAACTAATTGAAATTGTCAATAATAAAATAATGTCAATCTTTATTTTTCAGGCGTCAAGAATAATGAAAAAGGAATTAGGCCCCAAAGAACTACATCAGTGGTTATTTAATATTAACCACTAGTATCAAAAGAGAGAATGAGTTGGTTTAAGCGTGGGATTGATAGAAAATCCCCCGAAGGATCAGCATCATCACGGGCTGAAACAGATCCCAATACTTGCTTAGAGGTTTTTCAAAATCACTGGAAACAGGTAGGCTTTAAGAAATTGCTACTGTTCTGCTTACCATTGTTATTATTGAGGTTAGGTTGTTTAAAAGTTTATTGTTTTCAGGAATGATTGAGGAAACGCGCAATGAGTTTGCAGAACACAACAGAACACAACAAATATAATATTTCAAAATGAGACGATATTGCAGGCATGTCCCTCTGATCATTTTGGAAAATGGATATTGATTTTTCTGATATCTTTTGGATTTTATTTTTGGTTGAACCTGTAATAAAGTGTGTAATAGTGTATTCGATGAAACTGTAAGTTGGATTTGCATTACTTTAAATATTTTAAAATTATTTAAATCTTTTTATTCAGATTTATGATTTTCTCACTCTCGCTACAGTGTGTAACTGTAGTACAAGAACACAGGGTTTTAAGGTTCATGTTAGGTCATAGATTTTAGGTTAGAAGATTTAAAATTTACATTTGAGTCAAATGGGACTAAATTTAGGTTTCATGATTTCTGCTTGAGTTAGGGAAAGTGATTTTTGGGCTCTGGACATTTAGCATTCATGTTAGGTCGAGTTGTAGATTTTGGGTTTGAAAGTTTTTCTCTTAAAAAAATATTGCATTACATTTGAATTTTTTTTAAAATTTTATTTTAAATTTTTTCTTTTAAAATTTGTTGCTTTTTCACTTTTTCCAATTAATTATTAAATTTTAATGTTCTTTACTAATATAATTTTCATGCAATGGAAACTTTAAAAATATATATATTTTAAAAAATGATGTTTGTAGAAGAATAATCCATTCCCAAAAACTCCTTATTTTAATTTGACTTGTTAAGTAGCTAAAATAACACATACTTTCTCTTTACCCTTCCCATTGTAGCAGATGCAGATGTGTTTTCAATACTTTTTTTTTCATATGACCGCCGTCAAATGTAAATTTACGGATTTTGATTTTTTTAAAGTTGGGGGAGGGTTTTCGACCTCCCCAGAAATTATTTTATGTCTTATTTTTGTTTAGAAAGTGCGGGGAGGGGTTTCCCTTCAAGAAAATAATGTTTTGTGAAATTGCGACAGGATAAGAATGAATAGCATACTTGGTTTTTCAACCAATCGAAAGACAGAACTTAAACAATGCTCATGTCTTTTTTCCAGTGTTCAATTTGGGGTATAGGATGAGTTTTTTTTTTAAATTTCTTTTGAACCTTGTAAGTTAAGTTTTAATAAAAATGAAAAGAAAATTACATTTTTATTTCTTTTTACATTAACTGTATCGAATGTCAGATTACAAGTAAGATGGGAATAATAGTGAAAAACGGAATAGCTATCATACTCATTGTGCAGGTCCAAATGTCTGTCCTTTCACCCTAAGTCCAGTTTTGGGATTCCCCAAATGACATCACTGCATTCAGGGTGAGACAACTCTTGGCGAAACCCATGCCTCTAACTTCACCTTTGCCTAAAATGAGATCTAAACCAGCTAAGATGCAAATTGAATAGCTCTTTCACCCTTTTTTGTTTTTAAGATAAATACATTTTAATGACAGGCAGAAACCATCACATATTTGTTTTTCTCTTCTGTATTGAAATTGAAATAATATAAAATGATAAGGTGCAATTTAAACTATTAAAGCAAATGTTGAACTGTGTTTTTAATAAATGAACAAATAATTAGATTTTAGAGTTAAATGACTAAAAATACATCAAATGTCTTTAATAATTAAAAATATGCGTCTTTCCAAAATTCTTTTGTACTTTCACATTTTGTTAAAGGCCTGCATTGTCATCGGATGCCAAGACAAAAAAGCAACATTATCAAATGGTCAGGCTACAGCAGATGGTGTTGAGACTGTACTGAGCAATTTGGAGCATATGGTCACCCTCTTGGTTAATGAAGATGATGATGGTGGGCTACCAGGTATTTTTATCCAATGCAATTATTAGCTACTGTTTCAAAAAATTGATTGCTCTTTAAAATACTTTCACTGTAGAAAGATGTCAAAACTTATGACAATTGGCTATTTGGGCATTGAGATATAGCAGTAGGAATTATTGAGGGAAAGAAATTCCATTCTTTTATGCTGATTGATTCATTCTTTTGTCAGCTTCCTGGTTATATAAATAACATATATACTTTAAAAAACTGAATGATAAGCTATTTAAAGTTTTTGAAGCAGATGTCAAATTACCAGAGTTTTTAAAAGATGTACTATAATGTTAATAATTAATTTGAAGAATAGAAATAAATAATAATTTTTCAAAACTAGCTACTATATTTCTAAAGCTAAAGACAAATTCTGTGGTAATGATATGTTCTATTGAAAATATAATTGCTTTTATTATTTTTTAAAATTTAAGTTCCTTTTAAATTTTTTTTAAAAATTCAAAAGGTTTTTGGTGAAGCAGTTTTGTAAAAACGTATCAGTCACTGATTTTATTTTAATTTCATGGGCTCATTATATTGCAAACATTGAACTAGATAGAAACTATATCTTAATATCATACCCTCAGAAATGTTATTGTGTCATGTTTACATTCCAGGACCTATCCTCCAATGTGTGCTAGAATCTGATTTATTGGAGAACTTCTGTGCTTGGTGCACCATAAATGTTCCTGTCCATGAACGCCTCCGGCTGCAGCAATTAAAATTGTTTGAGCTGATCATAAGCCAGTCTAAACAGTTGCTTCTAGTTCACAAGCCAGTCATCAAGCCATTGTTAAGGTTGCTTTTAGACGTTGCAGATTCACAGGGTAATTATTAATTTACCCAATTTACTGTGTTACTTATACTGTAAAGAATATTCAGAACAAGATTTATAGAGGCGATATAAATATAAAACAAAAACCATAAAATGGACCACAAAAAAAAAAAAAAACTTTTGCCGTTGAAAACGCCAGACGATGTGATATTTAGTCGCTTGAAGCACATAATGATGTATGTCCATTTACAACTGGTCAAGAGATTTGTTCTTGTTCTAGTCAAAACCTTTTAGCTATAATTTAAAGCTGACTGATGATTGATCGGTTTCAGAAATGAACAATGGTGAGCTGGAGTTCAAGTTGGTATTAGTTCTGCATCAGATTTGTATTTGTATCTCTCAACAAAGTCTCATTTTAGAGAGTTTCTTCAGGTTAGTGTTGCATCACTGTCTGTTGTTATTCAATACCCTTTTGTAAATATAGTGATGTATACCATCCAAGCCCAGTGTTATATTATTTTTATATTTATTTAATTGAATCTTTAAGAAATCCTTCAAAAATGTATTGTTAAATGATTAGTTTCCGGTGAAAGTTGACCTTAGGAAAAGCTTTTGTAATTATTTATAATTATTGGTCAATATTATTTAACTTTATTTCAGCACTGATACAGACCATGGTCCAGCTCGGTTCCTCATCTTCTCCCTTCTGATTCCATACATACACCGCGAAGGTCCTGTAGGGCAGCGGGCCAGGGATGCTCTGCTCCTCATAATGACGTTGTCAGCAAGGCATCCCCACATAGGCCAGTACATTGCCAACAACTCAGACTTCTGTCCAGTATGTAATTCATCTCATGAGTCAGTTTTAGGGTAGCATAAATGTGGCTTATTTAAGGATCAGTATATCGCTCAGTTTAAATACAGAATATGTCATACTGCTAACAATATTTTAGTCTCATAGCAAACAATTGACTCCAGGTTCAGCTAGCTTGATTTTTTTTCTTAACACATCAGTTTTATCCAGGATTTATTGGATGATTTTGGCAAATTATCACCAAATCAAAATAGTAAATAATTTGAAAGAGCTGGAGTAAATTTCTGTAAATTCTTCTTTTCTTAATGATAAAACTTTGCATCATCCAGGTGTTGGCCACAGGTCTGAGTGGCCTCTATTCTTCACTTCCCCGTCGGATAACACCGCCATCAGATGAGTGGTATGCCATCACCAGAGAAGATTGTGTGCGCATTCCTGATTTGCAGATGTTTCTCAATTCCTTGCAGTTTTCTAATGCTGTTGTTCAGGTATCTTGACGAGTCATCCACTTAAGTATAAGAAATTTGATTGTTCATTTTTTACAAACTATATTTAGCAGTTATAGATACAGTTATCACACCATTTTTCCCAATTCAAGCTATGAACTTTTATTTACTTCACAGATAGCCCACCCACTTGTTAGAGATCAGCTGATTCACTTCATATATTCCGGCTTCCTTGTTCCTGTTCTTGCACCAGCCTTGCATCAAGTAGGGTTCATTTCTTCTTAGTCCTAATATTTCTACCATACAAATGGGCATTGGCTATGATCATAATTTGACTAAAGAGTCCAGGGGTCCCAAATTCATATATACTCACAGGGCAGCATGAGGCTAATTTGATGGTCTTAGGGTCACACACATCTACATTGTCATTATTAGCAGTTGTGTCTAATGTAATAGTGAAAAACAAAACATTTTGCCAGTCGCATGAGAAAGCTCAAAAGCCCAAATCCTTTGAGTCCGAGACGCCCTGATTTTGACAGTGTCAGTATCCAATAGTTTTATGTTTTTTTAATAAGGAATGGTTTAGAATTGTATGAGTTATCTGGGATATTTATTAATTCATTCATGATGATTTGGTTTTCTCTTAAATTTGTATCAAGATTTCTTTAATCACTCAGTCCAAAATCAAAACTTTACTTAAATATCTTATTTTGTGATGCAATAAAACTCCTTAAATTGACTTTGTATCAAAATTGGCAATATAATGGTAACCAACAAACACATATTTATTTATAAAGTAAAGCAAAATTTCAAAATTAAATTGGGAAAAAGCAGTTTTGCCCCAGGTGAAAAACTAGAAATTTTGATACAAACTGGTATCTCAATGTCACAATAAACTCACTAGATTATCAGTACTCTTAACGTAATTATTTATTTATTTATTTATATAGTACCTGGTGTTGTCTATATAATCTCATATTATTTTACATTTCAATGTAATGTGTATACCTTTTAACTGCTTTTAAATTGGGTCGTGAAAACATAATATGTTTTACAGGCTATACATTAGAATTAAATTATAATACTGCTTCTTTTTTTGTAAACTTGTGAGCATTAAATATTAAAAAATTACTTAACTCTTAGTGTCTGTAGGTCAAATCCAATATTTCATAACTTTTCTAGTAAAATTGCGATAAAAAACAAATTCCTTGCACGTTTGAAAAATGTAAACACCGGAAGAGGATGTGGAAATTTTGATTTGGACAAAATACCAACAAATTTATATAAAATCCCAAAATTAAAGAGTCACTATGAAATGCCACATAGACTGGCTCACATCAAGACATGGCGGAAAGCCAGTTAGACCGGCACGTCAGAATTTAAGAGTTGAATAAATGAGAGAGTTTAAGTTTTCTTCTGATTTCTTAACATTAACTGCCAAGTCCTGTTACTCCAAAAATTTCAGTGACCAATGGCAGATAGAAAAATTGTTGATTGCTTGAGGATTCATATCTACACAAATGATAAAGAAATGAGTTTTCCATGAAATTACAACATTAAGAACTTAACCAGCTCTAGATGCTCCCAGCACCACCCTATTACGATTTAAACAAAAATTCTTAATATAATTACCACTGCTTAATCCAAACCAACTTTATTTTTTTATTTTTTTTTAGAGCCAGTTACGTTTCCCTGTTAATAATAAAAATTGGTGCAAGGCCTTGCGTGATATTTAAATTACATTTATTTCCTTTTTAAAAAAATGAATTTATTTTCAAACCAATTAAAATGTAGGATAAAACAGTACATACTAATTGATCATATTATATGGTAACTTTTTTTTTAATGATAATAAAGTTGAAATGTAGGCCTATTACAATGAGGTGTATTAAAATGCTTTAGCGAATCTTAAGTGTGATTTAAATGCACAACAATTTCTACAGCACAAACTTAATATTGCATTCGTTTATAATTGAAAAAGTGAAATTTAATATACCAATGTTAAACATTTTGAAAGATACATTTACATTTCTGCACCAACTTGCTAAATAATTAATTTTGCAACATGGTGTTTTCAAAAAAGGTTATAAATATGTTAATATCTGACATAAGCCTATCAAATTTCAACAATAGAACAATAAGAACAAGATGTTGCTGCATAGTTTGTTGACAAAAACAAAATAATGAACACGGGACAGGAAATTCATTTTGCCCTATGTCATGAATGCCTTAAAAATGTTTCATCTACTTAACACCTCACTCATCCGTTGGCCACCATTCTCTGATCAAAATATGTTCTAAATGACAGGATATTCCGGGTCTACCGATACCATTGCTAGACACAGATTTGTTTCGGGTCAGTAGCAATGCTGTTGGCTTGTTCTGCTAATAGTTTTGTCATGCAACAGGCATCAGTGTTTGATCTAATCTCTTGCACATTATGTTTATTTTTGGAATAATTACCTTGTCATTTTATTTCTTTAAGTTAACAACACATTTCTACAATGAAAAGGCTTTACCCAATCTTTCATGTTTTTTTTTTATAACTTTGGTTGCCTCAAATCTTTATTTTTTTTCTTAATATGGTGTGCATTCTTTTTTTTTGTTTTGGCTTACTAACATGTATTGTGATTTTTTTTTGTGTGCTTCTTCTTAATAAATCCTTAATGAATTTGAAACAATTTAAGTTATCTAAAGATTTAAACAAAATTTTTTTTGTACAAGTTAAAATTGATTTTAAAAAAAAGGTATTATATTGTGGAATTTTGATATGTCGTAATCTATATATTTTGTAAACTAATGAAAAACTCTGGGTAATAATAATAAAAATAAATTTGTATTTAAATCATTTATATTTGTCTTACAGAATAATGCCTGATTATTTATTTTTAAGACTAATAAACACTTGCTTCTTATATTCAAGATATTTCCCATGCTACTTATTTATCTACTCAAAGCATTAAGAAATTAAAGGGCCTAAAGATTGTGAAAAAAGTGAAAAAAATTATATTTGTCTATAAACATTATTAGCTGTCTAAAGAGGTACCAATCAGAAAGATATATCTAACTTTTATCTGAAATCTTCCTCAACTAATTTTTTTAAATTGACATCCATTCTTTTTCATTAAAAAAAATCTTTTACTTTTATTTGATAGTAAGTTAATGCAGCAAGTTGTAGTGGACTGATAGTATTGACTGTGACCATGCAAATAGAAAAGCTTATATTTGCTATCACTAGTTTTGTTTGGGGTATTTCACGGGATATGGGAGTTGTCCATTTGATTGTGTAGCAAGCAAAGATTTATTATTTTTTTAAATAGAAGTTGCATATTCATTTTACTAAACATGGCTGGTTACAAATTTAGTTTAAATAGGAAAGCTGAAGACATTTGTAAAGAAAATCAAGTACTGTTTATTTTACTTTGCTTTTGAACTCTATCATGCCAGTTGAAGGGCAAACCAGCTTTTATTTTATTTGATGGTAAAAGGCCTTGAGATTATGATTTTTATTCAGTTTACTTAACACTATCAGATTTAAATGAATTATAGTTTTGGTCTGACTTTTGATTATAATGTTACATTTTTAATGTGAAATTTCTTTTTTTTTTGATGTAGTCATAATAGACACCAGGCCCCCTAATAAATATTAGCAAAAGTAATGTCACCACCCCCTCTCAATTTTAGTGTTGTTAAGCTTGTAGTTGTGTGGAAAAAAGTGGATTCTGGTATTTGAGAGTATTTAAAAAATAAAATTCAAGTTACTATTATAATTTTTCATGGAGTAGAAAAAGATCTGTTCAATCTTAGTAAAATGAGTAAAACAGAGTATGGTTAAACCTGAAAAATTAAACGCAACAAAACAGCGAACGTGTCGGCAGAAAGCCTTCGTCAGCTGTATTCAGTCCTTGCTACCAATCTTAGGCATGCTCTGTTACAGAAGAAATGTTTGCACGGAACTGTAACGTTGTGGCAATTTAGCTTATTAACTTTTACTCTGCTTAAATAGGATTGATATTTTTAAAATAAATATTTGTTTACCCTAATTGAACAACAATTTTCAGAGGAAATCTAGTCATAAAGAGGCAATTAGTCACTTGAATGAAAGCCCTAAAGTAACTTTATTCCAATACTAAAATAGAAAAAATCAATATTGATGAATTAGTTACATTTAGGTCCCCATCTGTGTGAATCAATTCAATGGGTATGTCTGCAAAGAAAATGTAAAACAATCCCAAAGTATATACCAATCATATTCATCATTAACACTTAATCACTGCTTTCATTTCATGGACATTGTATAATATGTGATGCACTTGTCACATTTAACTTCCCCTTGAGACCCACTTAGTGTTGCCCTGTACTTGTGTGTCACATGTATGCATGGACTTCATTAAACTGTGTTGACATATTCCTTCAATAATTTATGGCATCTCAAAAGCTGCTTGAAATGATTTATTTAAATAACACAGAGCTCTTGTATGTAACCAGTTGCTTGTGTCAACAGATTTCCAGAGAGGAGGTCATGACGGCGACAGCCTACCTGGACCTGTTCATCCGTCATGTGACAGATCCTCATTTACTCAAGGCAACTCTGAAATTTTTCCTGACAGAAAAATATGATGATGTTCTCATTTTGGAATCACTCTTGCCAAGGATCAATTCCAACTCTCATGTATGTCATTCTGTGTGTTGATCATTTAGCCCGAGTCTTGAGACAATAAAAAGTAAAATTCTTTTATAAACTGTTCAAGTATTGAAATCTATATTTCCTCTTTCAGTATTCAGCAGCATCCAAGTAAATTGTTACTGTTGAATTAAATTGGGCAATTAATTGTACTGTAGCTTTTTTTTGTTACTGTATGTTAATGTACATATTGTTTTTAAAACACATCTGTTGTTATAAACAGCCAGTAGGACCTGCCAGGCTGGCGTTGGCATATATTAACATAATAATAAAATAGTGCAATTTATCCCTTAAATTTAAACAAGATTTTGGGCTGGGGGAAAAAAAAAGGAATAGCGTTTTTAAGTTACTTGTATGTTGTTTGTTAATTTGTATGGAAAAAAAGACCAGTTGGATTTGACAGTGATTCACGGGTTGTTTTTTCTTCAGCTTTCCTCTGTGACCCTCTCCCTGTTTCACACACTGGTTAACCTGAACTGTGAGGATGTCATGTTTCAGCTTATCTTTAGGTGAGTAACATCATAGGGAGGTAAGCGATGATTGCACCACTTTGTGGAAGTAGCATTACCAGTTGGTAAATTGTCCGTCTCATCACCCTCATGGTTACATTAAATTCTACTATCATTTGAATGAGAGACATTGATTTGACCAAAGACTTTTCTCCCATTTGAACTATCCATCTTAAAACCAGTGTGTTTTCCCACAGCAGCAGAAGGAATTTTTGTAAAAAAAAATTTTTTTCCCTAAAGTACTTGATATTAATTCATTTCATCCACTACATTTTACCATTTTGATTTAGCTCTTATTTCTTTTACAATTTTGTTAACACCAAGACATGTCTGACATTCAGTTTTAACAAACACAAGAACTTAAATCAGTAGAAAGGAGACGTAAACATTATTGGCAACGAGTTAAAAGATTTGGGGGAAATGACTCTTCTAATTACTGATGAATTTGTTTCTTTTCATCAGGTACCTTGTGCCCTGCACCCACGTCATGGTCAGCCAGCGTCTCTCCATACGCGACCTCGACCTCTATGGCAAGTCGGCAGAGAAGTTTCTCTCCTTGCGGCCATCATGCTGTATTCAGTCCTTGCTACCAAATCCACCCCCAAGTATCACCCCCACACCCCTACCTCACCTTGTCAGCATGAGCACCCCGTCACAAAGGTATAGCATTGAAGATGGATTTTGTGGTTGACCCACTTGAAAAGAAAACATTTTTAATGGAGCTACTGTGAATTTCAAAGACCTTTTAAAAAAAAAAAATGGAAGCCAAGTTATTGCATTGAAAAGTATTATCTTATTGAAAATGTGGTTTTTGGCAAGAGAGATAAGAAGACTAATTTCACAGTAACTTCAATAATTTAACACATCCACAAGTTATCGATACAAGGAAATAAGAATTTAAAGCATGTGTAATTGAATGTAGAGAAAATACAGATAATTGATAAAGAGTGGATAAGATAATGTAAATTATCCTTGTGAAACTTGTTAAAGGATTTTTTATTTTAAAATGACACTGCAGAATACTTTTGAATACATCAGTTATCTCAGTGCTTCACACTACAGAATACTTTTGTATACATCAGTTATCTCAGTGCTTCACACTACAGAATACTTTTGAATACATCAGTTATCTCAGTGCTTCACACTGCAGAATACTTTTGTATACATCAGTTATCTCAGTGCTCCACACTGCAGAATACTTTTGAATACATCAGTTATCTCAGTGCTTCACACTGCAGAATACTTTTGTATACATCAGTTATCTCAGTGCTCCACACTGCAGAATACTTTTGAATACATCAGTTATCTCAGTGCTTCACACTGCAGAATACTTTTGTATACATCAGTTATCTCAGTGCTCCACACTGCAGAATACTTTTGAATACATCAGTTATCTCAGTGCTTCACACTGCAGAATACTTTTGTATACATCAGTTATCTCAGTGCTCCACACTGCAGAATACTTTTGAATACATCAGTTATCTCAGTGCTTCACACTGCAGAATACTTTTGTATACATCAGTTATCTCAGTGCTCCACACTGCAGAATACTTTTGAATACATCAGTTATCTCAGTGCTTCACACTGCAGAATACTTTTGTATACATCAGTTATCTCAGTGCTCCACACTGCAGAATACTTTTGAATACATCAGTTATCTCAGTGCTTCACACTACAGAATACTTTTGTATACATCAGTTATCTCAGTGCTCCACACTGCAGAATACTTTTGAATACATCAGTTATCTCAGTGCTTCACACTGCAGAATACTTTTGTATACATCAGTTATCTCAGTGCTCCACACTGCAGAATACTTTTGAATACATCAGTTATCTCAGTGCTTCACACTACAGAATACTTTTGTATACATCAGTTATCTCAGTGCTCCACACTGCAGAATACTTTTGAATACATCAGTTATCTCAGTGCTTCACACTGCAGAATACTTTTGTATACATCAGTTATCTCAGTGCTTCACACTGCAGAATACTTTTGTATACATCAGTTATCTCAGTGCTCCACACTGCAGAATACTTTTGAATACATCAGTTATCTCAGTGCTCCACACTGCAGAATACTTTTGTATACATCAGTTATCTCAGTGCTCCACACTGCAGAATACTTTTGAATACATCAGTTATCTCAGTGCTCCAAACTGCAGAATACTTTTGAATACATCAGTTATCTCAGTGCTCCACACTGCAGAATACTTTTGTATACATCAGTTATCTCAGTGCTTCACACTACAGAATACTTTTGTATACATCAGTTATCTCAGTGCTCCACACTGCAGAATACTTTTGTATACATCAGTTATCTCAGTGCTCCAAACTGCAGAATACTTTTGAATACATCAGTTATCTCAGTGCTCCACACTGCAGAATACTTTTGTATACATCAGTTATCTCAGTGCTTCACACTACAGAATACTTTTGTATACATCAGTTATCTCAGTGCTTCACACTACAGAATACTTTTGTATACATCAGTTATCTCAGTGCTTCACACTACAGAATACTTTTGTATACATCAGTTATCTCAGTGCTCCACACTGCAGAATACTTTTGTATACATCAGTTATCTCAGTGCTTCACACTACAGAATACTTTTGTATACATCAGTTATCTCAGTGCTTCACACTACAGAATACTTTTGTATACATCAGTTATCTCAGTGCTTCACACTACAGAATACTTTTGTATACATCAGTTATCTCAGTGCTTCACACTACAGAATACTTTTGTATACATCAGTTATCTCAGTGCTTCACACTACAGAATACTTTTGTATACATCAGTTATCTCAGTGCTTCACACTACAGAATACTTTTGTATACATCAGTTATCTCAGTGCTTCACACTACAGAATACTTTTGTATACATCAGTTATCTCAGTGCTCCACACTGCAGAATACTTTTGAATACATCAGTTATCTCAGTGCTTCACACTACAGAATACTTTTGTATACATCAGTTATCTCAGTGCTCCACACTGCAGAATACTTTTGAATACATCAGTTATCTCAGTGCTTCACACTGCAGAATACTTTTGTATACATCAGTTATCTCAGTGCTCCACACTGCAGAATACTTTTGAATACATCAGTTATCTCAGTGCTTCACACTACAGAATACTTTTGTATACATCAGTTATCTCAGTGCTCCACACTGCAGAATACTTTTGAATACATCAGTTATCTCAGTGCTTCACACTGCAGAATACTTTTGTATACATCAGTTATCTCAGTGCTCCACACTGCAGAATACTTTTGAATACATCAGTTATCTCAGTGCTCCACACTGCAGAATACTTTTGAATACATCAGTTATCTCAGTGCTTCACACTGTAGAATACTTTTGAATACATCAGTTATCTCAGTGCTTCACACTGCAGAATACTTTTGAATACATCAGTTATCTCAGTGCTTCACACTACAGAATACTTTTGAATACATCAGTTATCTCAGTGCTTCACACTGCAGAATACTTTTGAATACATCAGTTATCTCAGTGCTCCACACTGCAGAATACTTTTGAATACATCAGTTATCTCAGTGCTTCACACTACAGAATACTTTTGTATACATCAGTTATCTCAGTGCTTCACACTACAGAATACTTTTGTATACATCAGTTATCTCAGTGCTTCACACTACAGAATACTTTTGTATACATCAGTTATCTCAGTGCTCCACACTGCAGAATACTTTTGAATACATCAGTTATCTCAGTGCTTCACACTGCAGAATACTTTTGTATACATCAGTTATCTCAGTGCTCCACACTGCAGAATACTTTTGAATACATCAGTTATCTCAGTGCTTCACACTGCAGAATACTTTTGTATACATCAGTTATCTCAGTGCTCCACACTGCAGAATACTTTTGAATACATCAGTTATCTCAGTGCTTCACACTGCAGAATACTTTTGTATACATCAGTTATCTCAGTGCTCCACACTGCAGAATACTTTTGAATACATCAGTTATCTCAGTGCTTCACACTGCAGAATACTTTTGTATACATCAGTTATCTCAGTGCTCCACACTGCAGAATACTTTTGAATACATCAGTTATCTCAGTGCTTCACACTGCAGAATACTTTTGTATACATCAGTTATCTCAGTGCTCCACACTGCAGAATACTTTTGAATACATCAGTTATCTCAGTGCTTCACACTGCAGAATACTTTTGTATACATCAGTTATCTCAGTGCTCCACACTGCAGAATACTTTTGAATACATCAGTTATCTCAGTGCTTCACACTGCAGAATACTTTTGTATACATCAGTTATCTCAGTGCTCCACACTGCAGAATACTTTTGAATACATCAGTTATCTCAGTGCTTCACACTGCAGAATACTTTTGTATACATCAGTTATCTCAGTGCTCCACACTGCAGAATACTTTTGAATACATCAGTTATCTCAGTGCTTCACACTGCAGAATACTTTTGTATACATCAGTTATCTCAGTGCTCCACACTGCAGAATACTTTTGAATACATCAGTTATCTCAGTGCTTCACACTGCAGAATACTTTTGTATACATCAGTTATCTCAGTGCTCCACACTGCAGAATACTTTTGAATACATCAGTTATCTCAGTGCTTCACACTGCAGAATACTTTTGTATACATCAGTTATCTCAGTGCTTCACACTACAGAATACTTTTGTATACATCAGTTATCTCAGTGCTTCACACTACAGAATACTTTTGTATACATCAGTTATCTCAGTGCTTCACACTACAGAATACTTTTGAATACATCAGTTATCTCAGTGCTTCACACTGCAGAATACTTTTGTATACATCAGTTATCTCAGTGCTCCACACTGTAGAATACTTTTGAATACATCAGTTATCTCAGTGCTCCAAACTGCAGAATACTTTTGTATACATCAGTTATCTCAGTGCTCCACACTGTAGAATACTTTTGAATACATCAGTTAACTTAGTGCTCCACAAGCACTGGCCTATCCTAAAAATGTTCCTGATATTCTATTGTTTATTAAAATTTTTTCCTACTCTCAAGGGATGCATTTAGTATTTACATTGAAAAGGACCAACCACCTGCTGCCTGTGGGAGGCCCATTCAAATAGATAGGTTTCTTTCTTTTTTTTTAAGGTCATATCCTGGGGAAAATCAGAAAATGTAATGTTCTCTTCAGTTTAATGAAAGATTATTGATCCATTGATTACTCTAATGCATGTTTGATGCAGTGGCCAAGGGAACTTATTGCCCCCTTAAAAATTGATTTTTTTTTTATAGTCTTAATGGCAAGTTGATAAACCTGTGACCTTATTTTACCTCCCAATCAATACAGTTAAATAGTCTTCTCTCATAAAATTTGCCTATCCGGTACACATGAGTGTATAGCCACAGGAACACAGCTTTGAACTTGTTAAGATCGATGTACATTTAATGTCATCATGACATCATTATCATTTGTTGTCTTTAATGTAAACCATCTTAGAATTCAACATGAGTAAAAAAAACAACAAAATCAATGTTTTTTAAAGACAGTTTTTATTAAATGAACATAAATTTCAGCATAGTGGCAATAAGGGATGGTAACTAATGGCAGCCACAGTGCTAGGCAATGCACCTGGTCTTATTTGATATAAAAATGGTCTCTTAGCCGGCTATTCATTTTAAGACAGCTGTTATAAATTCTAATGCCCACATGTCATTTCAGCTGATTTAGAATAAATTATTTTAGTCGGACATTTAAAAAACATATTTGCTGAACACAAAATGGCAGATGCAGAGGGGGTGCACCAAAGCACATGCACCTGTGACAATCATTTTAATACATATAGACACTGCACAGGATTGAGGAAGATGCAATGTAGAGTTATGGTCTGGCTGTATCACGGTGCACCAACATATCATGATCAGGCAGTGTGTGATAGTGAGCAAGTTTACCATGAGGCCAAGACATACCATGGTGGAGAGCACCAACATATCATGATCAGGCAGTGAGTGATAGTGAGCAAGTTTACCATGAGGCCAAGACATACCATGGTGGAGAGCACCAACATATCATGATCAGGCAGTGTGTGATAGTGAGCAAGTTTACCATGAGGCCAAGACATACCATGGTGGAGAGCACCAACATATCATGATCAGGCAGTGTGTGATAGTGAGCAAGTTTACCATGAGGCCAAGACATACCATGGTGGAGAGCACCTTTTCACTGTGCACAGTGTGCCATGCTGCACCCCTTGTCATTAATCTGAATGTGCAACATTTCACTGTGCACAGTGTGCCATGCTGCACCCCTTGTCATTAATCTGGATGTGCAACATTTCACTGTGCACAGTGTGTGCCATGCTGCACCCCTTGTCATTAATCTGGATGTGCAACATTTCACTGTGCACAGTGTGCGCCATGCTGCACCCCTTGTCATTAATCTGGATGTGCAAATGTCAGGATGTTACTCTAGAACTTTATAAACTGCTATCCCTCTTGGTATAATCCATTAGCATGCAGCATGTCGACTCCTAATTCCATAATTTGTATGTGACTTCCTTGTTATTCATTTGGTTAACTGTACTTAAAGTAGTTATTTATATATATATATATAAATCTAATATTATGTATATTTGCATTTGTATTTTTTAAAATATTGACACCAGACTTCTAACCTTTTGACTAAAGATAAGTTCATTTAGTGAAAATAAAGTGTTCTCATTATGGACTTCCCGTTACGCGAAGAGAATTGTTGGTAAAAATATATCCCAGTTGATTGGTTCTTCATTGGCAAATTTTAACATTCCCTTCATCGTACCATTCACTCTAACCACCATTCCTTCAGATTGTGGACCTTTGTATTTCAATATCATTTTTGGGAACCCTCCACTAGAGTAAATTTCTTGAATAAATATCTTGTGTTGTTATATTTTTCAATGGAATGGCTTCAGTAACTCACTTTGAAAATGACGAGGTTCACCAATCCTGGGTGAAGGCCCCCAATGCCCAGGCCGTACGATTGAGTTTTTCGTGTACAAGTTCATACCCATAATCACATTAAAACTGAACACAGGTCCTATTCCAAGAACTGAGTAAACTTTAATCCGAGCTATCTATCATCAGATTGTACAAGAATTCAAACACGTTATTATGTATAGCGCAGCATGCTCAATAAGCACATTACAACCTTTCTACACTCGGCTCAGATGGCAACTGCAAACGATAGCACATACTCATTAAAGGACATTAACACATGCAGTTAGTTATGTTAGGCTGCAACATGAAACTTCCTAGACCTGTTCGTCAATGACCGTTCAAGTTTGACAGCATGCACTGAATTTGTGGGAAGTGAAAGGCCAAACATGCATTTGAGACCCAGGGCAGGTTCCCTACAATCACCAATATCTTTTTATTTTGGTCTGTTTCTTTTCAAGGGTATCTCAGATCTTCCCATTACAGCACAGTCCTTAATGTCATGGGGGGGGGGGGAAGGGGGGACTGGGAGACAATGGGTTGATGTCATGAAGTGGGCTAAAGTAATGAAGTACTGTGCAATAAGTCTAACAAGGATAGACTACTCTGAACTATTTTACATTTCTTTTGTTTGTGTCACCTTATATTTTCTTGTTAGATATCAGCTCAACACACCATGAATTGTGAACATGTATTATTCTTTATCCTAGGATAACTTAAGTGTAAAAATTAAAGGATAATTTGATAATCTATGTGGCATTTAAGTTTAAGGGACAACTGTAGGTATAGCTATAAGCCAATGGTTTGTGGATTAAGCCAAAGGGAAAATTGCATTGCTTAATATATGTACAGACAAGAAACTAAAAACTTGAAGGCACATTTTGTTTTTCCACTAGATTTTTTCTTCTTTCTTTACCTCATTCGTAGGTCGACCTCTGTAAATAGCCCACCACCAAACTTTGGGCACCACTCATCACCCCAACCTCCGCCTGAACAGACCAGTGGCCAGCAGCACGGGGAGTCCAGCTATTTTGAATACCTTCATGACGCGCGTAACAAAATTGAACAGACGGCCTGTGCGTGTCAGCACTGGACTTTTGTCTACGACGGTGAAAGCCCACCACCGGATAGCATCAAAACGGCTGATAAGTCAGCGGCCAGCAGCTCCCAGCAGGTCATCGCAGGGAAAGATGTTGAGGCTAAGCCCAAGACAGGATTTATAGAACTGGGATCCATTCACGCATCTGACGTGGAGGGAGGAAGAGCATCAATTGAACGAACCGGTCAGGGGCTGGTAGGAACAACTGGTGAAAGTGCCAAAGAAAATGATTTGCTACCTGTGGAAAAGTGCAATTTGGTCAAGGGGGAAAATGAGAAGTCTTTAAATCCAAAGCTGTATGCTAGTCTTGAAAGCATGGATTCATTCATTGATTATTTGTCCGATATTGAGGACTCTGGTGAGGGGAGTGCGTCTATGGAGGACAGTTTGATTTCATTGGAAGTTGCTCTAGAATCTGTGGTGGCTGGACAGCCCAGCAAAAATGTGAAACGGGACACCAAACCTACGTCCTCTGAGTCTAAACATGCAGGACCCGGCGCTGCTGGCAAGTCGGAGATCCCTGTAAATATTTTATCCCCTACAGTGCCAACAGATGTAGCAAGCGCTGGACCCACAGCATCAAACAGCAACTCAGTCAGTGGACTGGTAGCACGTGGTGACAACTGCAACGAGTTGATTACCACAACCAAGCCAGAAGCTGTTCCCCCAGTTGTCAAGAAAGAACGCATTGTGCCAAAAGACCTGCCAAAGAGCCTAAAGTCCAACAACATGAATCCCTTGTACTTAATGTCTACAAAACAGTTGCTGAGCCCGGGAGACGCAGTGTCACCCTTCAGGTCAAATTTTTCAGCCAATGATGAGTTCTTTGCCATGGTGCCAAACAGCTCAGCTCCTAGGAAACAGTTAAAATACTCAAATGAGTCTCCAAATATAGGTAAGTTCTGGCTAAAATTGGGCCCATGTAATATTTGTTTTGTTACATTTACTAAATTTAGTCTAGTTGAGGTGTTTTTGGGAGTCTCTTGTTGATTTGCCTATCAGTACGCATAAAATGCTGAAGTTTCTGGGTGATGCAGTAGAAACACAAATATCTGGGCATTTGTCATTAAGGTATTGGTAATCAACACTTTTGGTTATCTAGAGTTTTAGTTTGTGAACCAGAAATATACAATACTCACCCACATGTGAAGGAAGCATTTTTCACACTATTTTGACTTAAATTAAATACAAAGTCATAAATTTCACAAAAATCATTTTAGATAGTATACAATTTGTACATTAGACTTTTAACTCCAAAACCCTGAGCTGAAGTAACTGCACCATTGACAGTTTTAATTTATCATTAGCCTCAATGAAGTAAAAAGTTCCAACCACATTTCAGGACCTTTCCTTGGCTTTCTGCTGTCCAGATTAGAAGGCATGCTCGGCAACTCTCTTTACTTCAATCTTCTACTGACCGATGTGCTTGCCAGGCTTGCTGCCTACCCACAGCCACTGCTGCGGTCATTTCTACTTAACCACAACTTGGTGTTCCAGCCATCAGTTAAATCTTTAATACAGGTGAGTTGCTGCATAATAGGACCAGGGATTTCTTATTTTATTATTTCCCTTACTGAAGAACTATATGCTACACTCAAACTGTTTCCCAGGTGCTGTCATCACTGAGACAAAAACTGGAGAGCTTCTCTGTGACAGTGAAACAGTTTAATGTCATGGTCAGCATGGCCCGTCAGAACCTGGCGCTGCGAGAGGAGCAGGTTTTTCAGTCATTTGAGCATGGTGTCCTGGGCACACCCACCAACATCCCGATTCCAGTCCAGCCTGTGAGGACAAGGGCAGAAACTGTGACAGCTGCTCCAGCAAGTAAAGGTAATGTTGGTGAATGTTGTTTTTATAATGAGACTCCAATCTTAAGTGAGTCACAGGTTATTATTTTCTGTTTAAAGATTTTAGAGCCTGTCATCTCTATAACAATATGTTATCAATATTATATGTTTTAGAGTAAAAAGACGCCTCAAGAAGGTTTCAATGACAACTTGAAAACAGAAAGGCAATGGTCATAAACTACATTAAACATTTATTTAATAAACATAACAACTTATTGTCCTCTGTGCAAGGAGAGCAAGGGAGCCTGTAGACTGAATAACAGAGAATTGTAGTTGTTGTGATAGCCTGGTATTTCCTTGTGATTTTGATTAGACAGGTGGCACCCATGATTTTTTAATTAAAATTTTTGGTTTAAAAAATGTGAACCATATGAGAGCATATACAGTAAGCTGTGAAAGTGTTACGGAAAATCCTTTTGGAAATATCTTATTTATTTTGTTTGTTTGGATATTTTAAAATAATTTTGAATGTTATTTTAACTGTCTAGTATATATATATATATATATATTATTTTAAGTAAGTTTCTATTTTTAGACTGTATAATTTATATGTTGTTGTGCCTTTACTGAAATGTGTAATAAAATATCTCAACATTTAATTTTCCAGAGAAGAGGAAAGTCAATCTGAGTGAATTATTCTTCCGACGAACTCCCAGCAAAGACAAACTGGCCTTGGGGGCTAATAAAAATTTAGCACACCTACATCGTTTACAGGTATTGAGAAAATTAAAGTAAATTAATGCAATACATTTTTACTCTTAGCACTTGTCACAGAACACGTAAAACAAGAAGTGTTATATATTTCACTGTTTTAGTGCAACTACAAACTACTAAGGAAGTAGCTAGAGATTGTTTCTCTGTGGTTAAATTTAAAAAGAATAAGTAATCCTTATAATCCCTAGTGCCAGTTAGTAATTTCGTTAGCGATGCACATTATACTGTTAATTTGGTATTGAACTGGCTCTGGCATTCTGGCCCAACTGAGCATATTCTTCAGATACTTAACTATTCTTAAAATCCTGTCACAAAGTTGTTTCTCCTTTGTCTGCCGCCCAGGTCGGTGGTGACGGAGGCTACCGTTACATCAGCGGTCAGGACCCCGCTGATTCCAACCACAGACCTGTAGAGAGCATGGGCCACTCCCTGTCGACATGGAACGCTGTTTACTGCGCTTTGATACTGGATGAGTTCCTGAAAGAGTTGGCCGCTCTGTCCCAGGAACATTCTCTGCTCCATCTGGATGAAGGATATCTTAGTGGTTAACTCTGTGTAACTTGTAATTGTTATTTATATTTTAAACTAATGGAGAGGAATTTGGGCGCGCGGCTGAATCGGCCAAAGTTTTGAAAATTAGTCATGCTTTCACTGAAAAGTTTTAGTTGTACCAATTTTATTAAAATCCATTTTTCATTTTCAAATATTTTTAATATAATTTAATATTAGCTACAAGTCAACTTACTTTTTAAAAAATTTCAATTTTTAATGTACATTTTCTTTTCTTATTACCACTCTGTGATTAGTAAATATTTAATGTTAGTCGATCAAAGTATGTTTTTAAATGCCTAGTTTAAGGTATGATATTTTGTTACTTTATCATAAAATAGAATTATAAATAATGCTATATGTTTTATGCATTTATGATCGTGGACAATATGCCAATGTGGGTTGTTTTAAAAGTATGGATAACCAAGCAGCAAATCATCTTGTGCTATTAAAAATTTTAACACAAATTGTATATAAACAAATATTTTATATCTATAAGTTTAACACAGTAGTCCATAGATGTGCATAGATTTTATTATTATTATTATTATTACAGTGGTCTTATATAGCCTAGTCTAGCTATTTCTTACAGAAATATTTGCTTTTTCTATAATTCTGACAGGAAAATGTTACTCCATAAAAAAGTGTATTATTTTATTTTTGTTATCACATAGAAGATCAGAAACCTGTATGTGTACCCGCAAGGTCTATGACTTGACTTAAAGTAACCATAAAAATATTAATACGATATTTTCCCTGTAAAATAATAGATGTAATCAAAATTTACTATTTAAATGATGAAAATGTACCCAAAGTTCATGACTTAATTTATAATTTACACGAATGTGATTGATTTAGTTAAGTGGTGGGTGAAGCAGGCAGTAAACCACAGCTTGAGAAGGGTTGAAATTCCCATTCAACTCATTTGATACTAACTGATGGTGACTTACCAATGATGTCTTTGTCCAGTGTGTCACAAGTGGCATAGTCATGATTAGTAATGTGCATCTATTTTTTGTGTCCCAGTTGGCAAGTGCACCTTTTATACTGGTGCATGTGTAAATCTCTGAGATGTTATGCTACATATTTGTATGTAAATATTCAATTGACTGAGACTAATTTAAGGCCACTTAAACTTTCAAAAGACTTGACCCTTTGAACCCTTGGCACCTGGTCATAAATACCCATGTCCCTGGGCTACAGGGGAAAATTTACAAATACACACAAGCAAACAAATATCCATAATTATAAAATTTTATAAATAATACTTATTTCAATCTAAAATTGTCTGTTAGTAGTCCATGACTGTAATAAATGTATTACTGGGAGAATGTTGTCTTAGAATCTGTGTAGATAGCATAGGAGGTTGTCACTTTCAAGTCCCTGACTTTTCTTAAAAACTAGGTCCAGGACTAGGGGTACACGTGTAAGACACACATTGCACCACCAGCACTTGTTGAAGTCTAAAGATTATCACAATCATTGTCTGTTTGCTTTTATTACAATCCTTTTTCAAGACATAAAAATCCTCTGAGTCATTGACACCATCCACCTGCTCTGGTTTTAGTTCTTTAGAGTTTACATTTTTGCATTTTCATCCCCTCAATACCGTACATCAAAACATAACAAAAACAATGCATCCACGGCTGTTGCCGGTTACTCTATGACCTTTTGCAAGTCAGGCGGTACACTCTCACTTCGTAATCTAAAACACTTATACAGGCTGTCAATCTAGGGTAATGTACGGGTGACTGAAACTGCAATCTTGCGTGTATGGATTTTAACACACCCACTGATAATGCAGAATCACGGATTCAAAGGGTCAAGGCTGACCCCCCTGACACAAGAGTTTTGAAACTAAACATTTCAGCCAAATAATTGCTTTTAACCATGTTCTTAACAACTACTTTATTTATTGAAGTTGACCTAATATATTTAAAGTCAGTTTCCTAAAGTAATGTCATGTAAAATAAAATGAAGTTTAATTGAAACAGTTTTTTTTTTATAACTCACCCTGTACTCCTCAAGCGAATATAATTCTGTTTTATTTGAGGATTCATCCAGGTATTAAAATGCATATTTTTACACCAGGGAGCCTTACAAAACCAGGTGCTACAGCCTTGGCATTTCATGTCATGTCAGTGTTTGACATTGTCATGTGCGTTCTAATATTTCATGTCAGTACCGGTATTTGCAAATGTCATGTTGCTTAGTATTTCATGTCATGCAAGTTTTTGAAGCTGTCAGATGTGCTCTTATACTTTTAGCTGTAAATGTTTATATTTATTCATATATATTTAAGAGGGCATTAAGGTTGAGAGTTAATAGCTTGTTAAGGGCCATCCATATAGTATGTACCCACTGAAGAAAAAGGGTGGGTTTGTCTCAGCAGAAGGTACATACATTTATTCAGAAATTCTAAAATAATCATCTTGAAACTCTGACAGTCCAAAAAAATACAACATATTTGTATCTCTAATGCTGTAAAAACATCATGCAATGTTTCATTGAGATTACCATCATAATGTTGCCTCGTGTTTTCAGAAACGAACTCGCTTGATATAGCTCAAATAGTAGTCAGTAGTAGAGGTATTACCGTAATATTTAGTCCACCATATGTTCAACGTGCGCGTGTCGTTTTTTTTTTTCCCACCCGGCTCAACCAGTGGTTCCTAAAATTTTTAAATTCCTGACATCCTTGCCAAATTTTGGTCTCACGAGGCGCCCTGTGTTCAATTTTGAAATAGTGAATTCATACACAAAATACAATCAAAGATTGGGGAAGTATAAATAAAACACATATGTGGGTCATTAAGCAACATCTAGTAACTGCCAATAGTAGCTACTCAAGAGATTGCACCAGGACTGCTAGATGTCACATTGGATTACAAGTAGAAATAAAATTATGTAATATTTTGTGGCGCCCCTGTTAACAGAACAGGCCTATTCCAAGGAAAAGCAGCACCTGGGATGAAGCTAGAAAATGGTGCCCCTTTATTATAGAAAAAGTGCAGGGTGGGGGGGACCTGTAAAAAGACCATTTTTGGATACCCTTCTTTGTGAAGTAAATGGGATTTTATAGTTTTATTCACTATTAACGTCATATCTAAAGATGATTTTGGTGCCCTCTTTGCCCCATTCTCATGGCTCTGCTCGAGGGAAATGTGGGCCCAAAAGGGAAGGGGATATTATGGGATCCAATTTGCTCGCCAAACAGTCAGAGAGATGAAAACGGAAAACATTTTTTAACATTTCTGTTATTTCATATTTATAAATTATTTAGTGAATATAGGCTTGGGGGTTGGTTCTCAAAAGTTTTTGCATGCAACCCGAGGAGGGGGTTAAAATTTGATTATTTTGGCGTACGTATGATATGGATGGTCCCTTATTTTGGGTTTGGCACAGTGTAAAGATCCCTAATTGTTCAACTAAACATTCTTCATTGTATGACTATAGGAAATAAGACACACCTGCGTTCTGTATCAATTTTAGATTGTATTTGAACCAGGCGACCCAATACAGTTTGTATTTAATTAAGCCAATGCCAAGCCAAATTAATGTTGTCAGTATTGTTTGAGAATGAGAGTTTTTGTGAGAATGGTTGCATGCATCCGGTATGTCAGGACTTATCCAGTCAGGGCTTATCCTGTCAGGGCTTATCCTGTCAGGGCTTATCCGGTCAGGGCTTATCCTGTCAGGACTTATACTGTCAGGGCTTATCCGGTCAGGACTTATACTGTCAGGACTTATCCTGTCAGGACTTATTCTGTCAGGACTTATCCAGTCAGGGCTTATCCAGTCAGGACTTATCCAGTCAGGGCTTATCCTGTCAGGGCTTATCCTGTCAGGGCTTATCCTGTCAGGGCTTATCCTGTCAGGGCTTATCCTGTCAGGGCTTATCCTGTCAGGGCTTATCCAGTCAGGGCTTATCCAGTCAGGGCTTATCCTGTCAGGGCTTATCCTGTCAGGGCTTATCCTGTCAGGGCTTATCCGGTCAGGACTTATCCAGTCAGGGCTTATCCTGTCAGGGCTTATCCTGTCAGGGCTTATCCTGTCAGGGCTTATCCGGTCAGGACTTATCCGGTCAGGACTTACACTGTCAGGACTTATCCTGTCAGGACTTATTCTGTCCGGACTTACCCAGTCAGGACTTACAGTCAAGACTTACCAGTCAACAATGTGCCTAAAACAGAATCTGAGTCATTTATCATTTCATATTCATCATTAAGTTCATAACTTCGAGAAAAACATGACCATTTCAAAATGCTCTGCGTGGTGGCTACCTTTTTATTTTATTCTAGAAATGTTGTGAACAAACTTCCCCTGCTATCTGGAGATGGTTTTATGAAACTGTATGCAGCCAGCATCATTTTTAGTCGTGAGCATAAGAGCAGACCTGTTTACTCTTACGAATTTGGCGTACAATGTACGATTTTGAGGTGTATACATGTTTATTTTTTTCACTATTAAGATAGTGTATTGAACGATTTTGTGATGATATTGTACGATTTTAAGAGTTTGAGGGTAAACATGTCTGTAAGAGTCAAGAATTTAGACAAATAACTGTGTATTGTTGCACATGTTAAAGTGGTGCAGTTGAATGCAGTCCCTTGGTTCTAGTTTGATGTGAATCAATGTAAGAACCAGTTACTTATTTTACCTACATATGAAAGAAAAATACCAAGAAGATGATTGTGTGTGTGTGTTAATGTGTTCATGGATCAGTTCTGAATGTATACTTATAAGCCAGCAGTGGGTTTTTTTCAGAAATTTTCGGGGGGGGGGGGGGCCCTTCAGATTTTTTGGAGGGGCAGTGCCAGCAGTTCCAGCTAAAATTTATTGTTGGACTTTTTTTTGGGGGGGGGGGGGGGGTGTGGTGTCCCCCCCCCCCCCCCCCCCCAGAGATATAGCTGAAAGAAACCCTGTAAGCCAATAAAACATTTGATACATATAAACAAGATAGAAATATATGTTTAGCAAAGGATTTTTAGGGAAAAATCAATTCAGATAAGGAATTACTTGATAACAAATGGAGTAGTGTTCAAAAGTTAAGCTTTTTGTGTTTGTGAGACTTTTGGTGGTACCAAACCCGAAAGCCCTATCTATGTGTCAAGCCCTATATTTGTCAAGCCCTATATTTGTCAAGCCAGATGAAATATTTGAGTGGGTTGATACAGGTGTTTTATTAGAGTTCATTTTTACGGAAGGTGTCTGACGGTCTGAAATACTGAGTCACAGTTCAAGATGTTGCTAACTTACCTGATGAAATGATGTCTTTTCAACAGTTTTTTTTTTTTCTCCCTGCTTAAAATGAAACCATCTTGGCATGCAATATGTACAAACTCTTTTATTTCCTTCTGTGTTGATACAAAATGTATATATGTGATGATTCATCCCTGTTTTCAACATTTCTTGTTGTTGTTTTATCTACACTTTGACCTTTCAATGGCTGTGTGTTATAAATAGACTTTAGTTTTTTTGTTTTTATTTAAAAAAAAAAAAAAAAAAAAAAAAAAAAAAAATTTTTTTTTTCTTTTTTTTTTTTTTTTTTTTTTAAAAAAAAAAAAAAAAAAAAAAAAAAAGACTTTTTTTCCTTTTTTTTTCATTGACTTGTAATGACTAGCTTCATTTTTTTATCATGGTTAATCTGTTGACACCATGTGAACAAGCTGTAATGCTACTAGACATTTAAAAGTAAAACAGAATAGTTTGTGGTGCCTTGGTTATCCATTCCCTGTATCAGTATCCAATGTTGTATTAACTGGTGAAAATAGGACTATTTTTTTTAAAATTTGATTTCACTGCAGATTGGCTGAATAGTTTATATTTATTGACATCTCAGAGCCTACATTTATTTACACAACAAAAATTTGATAAATTAAAAAAAAATATATATATTGTTTTACCATTTCAATGAATCAGGAATTGTGGCCAAAGCAACTATAAAATTTGAAGAAGTTGTATAATTTTTTTTTTTTAAAACATCACTTTCTTATACGGTTCACAATTTATTTTAAGAGCTACATTTAAGGCCCATGTGGATAACAATAAAAATGTTCTGAAAATATCACAATGACTGATAGCGTCCTGAAGTCCTGTCGTAAGCTGTTGATTTATTACAGTTGTAATGTTAGATGTCAAGGTGTTAACACTGGGTCTGGTGAAAGTGGTCACAAAGTAAACATGTTATGATCAAACAATGGGGGGAGGGGGGATCTATGGAAGTTATTATTCTTTCAAATTTTTCCCCGAAATAAACACTTCACTAAAAACGAATTTTTGTTTCTTTTTTTTTTTAAATTCCCTTCCCCCCTCCCCCCCCCCCCTTTTCTTTCCTGATTTCACTTCTTGCTCACATCTGATCAAAACATTACTTTTGGTAGCGCTCTCTCTGGCTGGTGTCATTGCTAAGATATATCACCAAAACCGAATGGTCGCCATTCATGAAAATGGCATCTGTTATGAGGGATATCAACAACCGAGTAACCTCTTTGGTGGACAGTCCTAATCTTAAATGGGACTTAACCCTCACGGCCTAAAGGATTTTTACAGTTTGTCCGTTATCTCCTCTTTAACCTTTGATTGTTGTCACACTAGTAAGGCGCCAAGCTCCGTTATTTCACAGTTATCCTTTGATTATTGTCGCACCAGTAAAGGCGCCAAGCTGTGTTCATCTCCTCTACCTCACTACCGGGCACGCCAGCAGATCATCAAATTGATTCTTTTTTTCAGAACTGCATATTGTATGAGCTTACAGGAACTGGAGTTTCCTTCAAACCCCGGCTTGAGAGGAACTGACAGTCGCCGTGCATCTCCCCCCCCCCACCCCAAACCCCAGGCCAACAACAACAGTCGGTGCCATACGATGTGCATTCAACAACAAAACTCAATTCTTGACTTTTTTGTTTGTTTGTTTGTTGTTTTTTTTTACTGATCAGATGCTTGAAATGTTTTCTTTTATTAGATTAATTATCTAAATATAAGTATAAGCATTCACGCCAAGCATATCTATCCGAAGGACTATTTTTGCGCATTCAAATTAATCTAAACAGTGACATTATAACTGAACATACTGAGGCTCTGTTACCTAAAGTAAGCCAAGTATTTTTAGTCTCAGTGCACACAAGTTTTCGCCCTAATGATTATATTTCTTATTCCCTGAGATAAGTATTAAGAAATTTAAAAAAAAAAATGAGTCTTATATTATTTTGCGCAACTCACTTGTGACTTCTTCATCTTTGAGTCACAAGTTCTTGTAAGCTGTAATGCCTCGGGGGGAAAAGCATTGATTCCTTGATAGCGATTTAAAGTATGATTGCTCTTAGTGTAACATAACTCATTCGCCGGGGAAATAGATCTTTGAGCCGAAGTTGCGGCCCTTACTTAACATGCTAACAAACTTGACAGCCCCCTGAACCCTACTCCGTCTGGATGTCTTTAATCCCAATTACCGACCCCAATTCGGCTATATCGAAAACCTAGCGTTATTTCCCCCGAGGTCGTGTATGAAATTAAGCCACTGGCTGTTTCCATTAATCTGCCGGTCCTCCCTGTATTCGGCGAGCCGTTCCCACACAGTTACGTGACCTAATGAAGCGGGTGTCCGCTGGGTACAGCTCCTGGGTGGGGTGGGGTGCGGTCCTGCGAGACGCTGGCTGTGATTCTTGATTCCGAGCCTGTTAACCTCAGGTAATCGCTGGATCGAAATACAGAAAACTGAGGACCGATGCTTGCTTCTTTGCTTCCCCCCCACCCCCACCCCCACCCCCCGCACCCAGAGGCGTAGCGAGAGTGTTTGGTGCCCGGGGGCGAGACTAGCGCCCAGGGACAAGATTTATTTCAAAGCGCCCCCTATTCTTTTTTCAGCTCTCAAACCCATTATTTTCGCCAATGAAATAAAATCAAATTGCATTTTGGCGCTCCTAACTAGCTGGCGCCCGGGGACATCTGCCCTCCCTCCTCCCTTCGCTACACCTCTGCCCCCCCCACCTCCGCTCTTATTCCTTGTACATACAAGACGCTACCAGTTGTGGACTCTGCGGTAAGTTCTTATCTTGACACGGCTATTCTTAAGATGTGGTTGTGGAGTTCGGGAAGTATTTGAGTGGTATCTGTAAGGCAGCGATTCTCAGCCTTTGGGTCGCTACCCCTTTGGGTGGGGGGGGGCGAACGACCCTTACATAGGGGTCGCCTGAAACCATCGGAAAACACCTATTTATGGTTGGGGGTCACCACAACATGAGATACTGTATGAAAGGGTCGCGGTAATAGGAAGGTTTAGAATCACTGCTGTATGGTATGTGAGCAATGGCTTAGCTATAGGTTAAGTGAGGCCCGGGTTGCACAAATATTTTTGGCCGTATCCTGAAATTTGTTTGAAAGAAATTTCTTCGAAGGAAAATTGATTGAAGGAAATTTGGTCGAATCATTTTTTTCACTTCGCACGTTAAAATCTTGCGTCAAATTTCTTTTTGAACGCATTATTTTTTTTTTTTACTATACGGTATAGTGCTTTCAAAAAAAAATTTAACAAAAATTTTAAAGCGGTAAATAAAAAAAAAAAAAAAAAAAAAAGATTCGACCAAATTCCGTTCGATCAAATTTCCGTCGACGAAATTTCTTTCGAACAAATTTCCGTAAAACCATTTATTTTTTTTGCCTCAACCTTATGAAAAAAAAAACTAGGCGGTTGGCTGACAATGATGCCCCATAGGCAGGGCCGGTGCCAGAGTAATTGGCACCCTAGGCGAACCTGTCGCACTGCGCCCCCCACACGCCCACGGCAACTAATTATGTAATTAATAGTGCCGCCCCCTAAAAATTTGCCGCCTTAGGCGGCTGCCTAATTCATAATGGTTAAACCGGGCCTGCCCATAGGCCGTCGTACGCTAGTATATGTGAGTGACGAGGTGAGAAAAATCGGGGAGCCGTGTAAATGATTTTTAAAACTTAAACTTGTTGCTAAAAAATAAGGTGTTTTCCCTGTATTTAATATTCTTACACGATGCACACAAATTTGCCGTAATCTTAAAATAATAATTCCAAATAGTTTATCTTTCTTAAGCTTGCTGACATGCGATGGCAGTTCTTGTCGTGGGCGCAGTAGCTTCACTAAGAATGAGCTGACCGCAACGGGTGGCACTTACCCACGTGGCTGACACCAAATGGAAAATTTGGTCGACCAAAATCACTGGTAAGCCACTGATAAAAAACCCATAAAAATGACCACATAAAATGACTACCCCTGTCTGTCACAAGATAAAATTATAACTCTATTTGTAACTCGTGATCCGCTGAAAACGATACTGCATATATTTGTCAAGGTTGTCTCTGGCGATGATCGACCAGAGTCCAAATCTAGCTCTAGTCCATTGAGTCAAAATTGTCCCTGGCCCAGGTCCACAAAAGTCCAAAACTAACACTAGTCCATTTAGTCAAGATTGTCCCTGGCCCAGGTCCACAAAAGTCCAAAAACTAACACTAGTCCATTTATTCAAGATTGTCCCTGGCCCAGGTCCACAAAAGTCCAAAACTAACACTAGTCCATTTAGTCAAGATTGTCCCTGGCCCAGGTCCACAAAAGTCCAAAAAACTAACACTAGTCCATTTAGTCAAGATTGTCCCTGGCCCAGGTCCACAAAAGTCCAAAAACTAACACTAGTCCATTTAGTCAAGATTGTCCCTGGCCCAGGTCCACAAAAGTCCAAAAACTAACACTAGTCCATTTAGTCAAGATTGTCCCTGGCCCAGGTCCACAAAAGTCCAAAAACTAACACTAG